CTGCATATTTGAATGTTCATAAAGTAACTTAGTAGAGTAATAAGATTCCAGTGACATTGTAATAGACTTATAAAGAATGAACACTAAAGAAAGGAAAAAGAACACTAAAACCCAAACTACAGAAAATATTCATGGTATTTTTTCTTTATGGCTCTGCTTTCACTATAATGAATTACGTTCAAAACCAGAAATCTTCTCTGTTTCACTGTTCATTTCCTTTTCTTTGAGAAATTTTTTTTCCCTAAACTATACGTAGTGTAACTTTTGGAAAATTTTCTAATATAATTTAAATAACTTCAACAAAGAGTTCTCAAATTGCAAGCAGATATTCTGTAATGTTTGGTCAGTTACCTCTTGGCTTTATTTCCTCCTTAACCCACCTGGACCTCATGCTTGATCATTTTAACAGTAGTTGTTTTTATCGGTGACTGTTTCTGCCCCCCACCGTTTACTATAACCATTTTGCTGTTCTCCATCTTCTGCTTCAATACTGTTAGTCACTCATTATTTTTTTTTTATGTGAATGGAAAACCAAAAAACTGCAGTGCTAAAATAAATATGTTTAGATCTTAATTTAAAAGTGTAGATCTAATAAATGTAGTTTATTTGAGGAAAAAAATAGAAATCATTTCTTGTCCCAGAAAAACAGAAAATCTCCAGCCTCATTTGAACTTGTTAGGAATTGAAGGAAAAGGAAAAAAATATAAGACTAGAATTTTATTGCCTTAGAGTATTTTAAAGTCATTAAGTAGCCAGGAATTTTATAATATTTTTGTTTGTGTAATGAAATACTTCTTTTACCACTCCTCACCCTTTTAATAGGTATCTACCAGTTTTGCTGTGATTGTTTAGTTTTCACATGTTCAACTTTAGAATAACTTTTTTGAGAACTTATTGTTTACCAAGGTAGGCACCTGATGATATGGACAGTTCTGTGCAGACATACACTGTACATTTGCTTAGAAATTCACATAAAGGGCAAATTCAAATAAACAAAAAAATTAAGGTTGATTGGGTATATACATTGATAAAATCCTTAAGGAAAAGAACTTTGATTTTATATATCAAGACCGTTCAGTAGCATACTTACCCTTTAACCTAGTACATGTTTTGTTCTGAAAAAATATTAACAAAGAAAATATTACATGAAAAAATCATCTATAATACAAAAGGCTTGTTGTAGCATTATTTATACTAATCAAAAACTGATAGCATCCTAAATGTTTATTACTATATGCAGTGTAATGACATGGCACATTTGCTAACTACACAATTTTGTAACATTAAAAATTGCAAGTTAAGCTACTCCAATCAACCTTTAAAAGAGATTACAGGGCCTCCTTGGTGGCGCAAGGTGCAACCTATGAAGCTGCCCACAGCCTCTGCAGCACGAGTTTGATTCCCCGGCTGGTCAGGGAGGAATCCACATGGTACAGCAGACCTCTCTTGACACCCACTGCTCCCCTCAGCAGTGTCCTCCGTTCAATCTGCCTGTTCTGTTCCCTGCTCTGTCTCTGGTGAATCCTCTCACCCCCCTACACCTCTGGCCTGTACCCCAGTTCTTGTATGCATAAAATAAATAAATCTTTAAAAAAAAAAAGAGATTACAATATAAGGTAAAGTAAAAAAGCATAACATAAAATCACATATATTTGTAAACTAGCAAGGAATAATCCAGTTCCAAAAAGGAAATTAAGAAAATAGTTCTAGGGCCTCCCCGGTGGCACAGCAGTTGAGTGCTGGGTTGCGAAGCTGCCCGCAGCCTCTGCAGCGCTGGATCGATCTCCAGCCGATCCCCAGCCGCTGGCGAGGGTCCCACATGGCATGCAGACCTCTCCTGCCACCTGCTGTTCCCCTCAGCAGTGTACTTCGTCAGTCTGCCTGGGTCTGGTGAGTTCTCTCACCCTCCCGTACTTCTGACTGTACCCAGTGCTTGTTTAAATAAATAAATAAATAAATAAATAATTTTTTAAAAAAAAATCAACACCTTAAAAAAAAAAAAAGAAAAGAAAAAGAAAATAGTTCTAAGCCTCCCCGGTGGCATAGCACTATGAAGCTGTCCACAGCCTCTGCAGCGCAGGTTCGATTCCCGGCCAGCCACATGGCGCAGCAGATCTCTCCTGTCTCACCTGCTGCTCCCCTCAGCAGTGCTTTTGATCCGTCTGCTTGTTCTGCCTCCTGCTCTGTCTCTGGTGAATCCTCTCACCCTCCTGTGCCTCTGACCTGTACCCCAGCTCTTATATACATAAATAAATAAATAAATCTTTTAAAAAAATAATAGTTTCATTCACAATAACATCAAAAAGGTTAAAATACATAGGAATAAATTTAATTGAACAGGAGAAAGACTTCTACACTTAAAAAAAAAACTACAAGACATTGCTGAATGAAATTAAAGAACACCTAATAAATGGAGAGTTAGTCAGTGTTTATGGAGTGGAAGACTTAATATTGTAGGATGGCAATATTAAGCAAAGTAATATACAGAATCAGTATAGTTCCTATAAAATCCTAAGTCATTTTTTGTAGAAATAGAAAAACTCATCCTAAAAAATCATAAGTAATTTGATGAGTCCTCAAATGGCCAAAACAGTCCTTGAAAAGGAAAAGCAAAGTTGGAGGAGTCACAGCTCTGGCTTTTAAAACTTACTACAAAGCTACACTAACACTAATGCTAGTGTTGTACCAGCATAAGGATAGACCTAAAAGACCAATGGAATGAATTGAAGAAGCCAAAATTAAGTCCTCACATATAACAGGTCAGTTGTGTTTTGTATGGCTGCCAATACCATTCAGTACAGAAGATAGTCCTTTCAGCAAATGGTGCTGATAAAACTGGATGTCTACTTATAAAAGAATGAAATTAGACCGACACCTCATTCAAGAAGCAACTCAAAATGGATCAAAGACCCAAATTTCAGAGCTAAAGATATAAAACTCATAAAAAAGCAAACATAGTAGAAAATCTTCATGACCTTAGATTTGGTGTGGTCTTTTTAAAATGATACCAAAAACCCACACTGAGTTTAACTTTATCAAAATTAATACTTTTGTATACAAAGGACATTATCAAGAAAGGAAAAAGCTAGGGCCTCCCTGGTAGCACAGGCTGTTGAGCGCCGTCTGCTACTGTGAGGCTGTCTGCAGCCTCTGCAGCGTGGGTTCCATCCCAGCCGGCTAGTGAGAAGCCCACATGGCATGGCAGACCTCTCCTGTCTCACCCGCTGCTCTCCTCAGCAGTGTCTTCGGTCCGTCTGCCTGTTCTGCTCCCCCCTCTGTCTCTGGTGACTCCTCTTACCCTCCCACGCCTCTGTCCTGTACACCAGTTCTTGTATAAATAAATACATCTTTTAAAAAAAATGGCCCTTTAAAAAAATACAGAATTACCAAGTGACCCAGCAGTGCCCTCTTTAGTAGATACTCACAGAAACTAAAAATGGAATTTAAAAAAAATATTTTTATACCACTGCTCATGGCAAAACTAGTCATAATGGCCAACAGTTGAGACAACTGAAGTATTCATAAGCACATAGATAAAAAATGTTTTAAATATGCAATGGAATATTATTCAGCTTTTAAAAGGAATGAAGTACTGACTCACAGAATAACATGGTTGAAGCTTAAAAACATGAAATAGAGACAAAATGACAAATAGTATATTATGCCACTTATATGAGATATCCAAAATAGGCAAATTCATAGGAGCAGAAAGTATTGATAGGATATTAACATTTCCAGGAGCTGGGGGTAGGGAGAAATGTTTTAGCTTAATGGTTGCAGAGTTTTTGCTTGGGCTGACGAAATGTTCTAAAGCAAATACATGTGATAGTTGTACATGTAAATTTAGTTGTACATTGTAAATTTACTTAATGCCAATGAATTGTGCACTATAAAATGGCTGAAATGGTGAATTTTGTTATTTATGTTTTATTTTTTGTAAGATTTATTTATGCATACAAGAATTGGGGTACAGGCCAGAGGTGCAGAGGGTGAGAGCATTCACCAGAGACAGTGGGGAACAGAACAGGCAGACTGACTGAAACACACAGCTGAGGGGAGCAGCAGTCGAGTCAGAGAAGTCTGCTGTGCCATGTGGGTTGCTACCTGGCTGACTGGGTATTGAACTTGTGCTGCAGTGGCTGTGGATTGGTTCATAGTGCTGTGCTTAACCTCTTGGTCACCAGGGAGGCCCTGTTGTTTATGTTTTAAACATAGTTTTTTTAAAATTTAATTATGCACAGTGATTTAGGTACATAAATCATGGTTTTCAAACTTTAAAGATGAAAGGGAATTTGAAGACATAAAAAACACTCATCTATAGTAATAATTATATTATTTTGAGTAGAAATAAAGTTCAAATGAAAGATTTTCATTTTTAGCTAAAGGGTATTCATGAAAAGAAGATAATTTTTGTCCCACAGCTTCTCAGACCAGCAAATGGTAAGGAAATTTAGGAGACTCACCCCCAAAATTGGTAGCAATAGTTTATTTAAAAAAACTTTGATGGGCCTCCCTGGTGGCGCAAGGGGTTGAGATGCAACCAATGAAGCAATCTGCAGCCACTGCAGCACGAGTTCGATCCCCAACCAGGGAGCAACCCACATGGCACAGCAGACCTTTCCTGATTCGCCCACTGCTCCCCTCAGCAGTGTATTTCAGCCGATCTGCCTGTTGTGTTCCTCACTCTGTCTCTGGTGGACCCTCCTACCCCCCATGCCTCTGGCCTGTACCCCAGTTCTTGCATGCATAAATAAATAAATCTTAAAAAAAACAACTTTGTCTGTTTATATTGTTTTTATTATAACTGTATTATTATTATAAAAATGGCTATATTGATAATTTTTAAAACAGTCAAATTTTCACAGGAAAATCTTTTTGGAGTAATTTTCTTTAAGGAACAGTTGATATACTATAACTTTGCTCAAGCATCTAGAGTGATTTTTAGTTTCTTGTAAAGCTTTCTAGATTTTAATGAAATCTTTATTTTTTTTTTTTTTTAGCTTGACAGGGCCAATTCTCTGTTAAACCAAACTCAGCAACCTTATAGATATCTCATTGAATCAGTACGTCAGAGGGATACTAAGATTGATTCACTGAAGGAGAATATTACACAACTTGAGAAAGATGTCAGGTAAACCATTTATAAGTCTTTTATTTGAATAATAAAGGCACTGTTAACACTGCTATACATGAATTATGAAGAAAAAGTTTAAGTGATAAAGGTAAATGGGATGAATGTTAAATTTCTGAGGGAAAAAAATGGTCACATCATATTGGGTGTTCACTTTCCCGGAAGTCTCAGCACAGAAGTAACAATGCCATACTTCTGAGCAATGCACCCTCCCACCCAAGGGCACACAACAATCATCCTATCCTTGGTCCCTAGAATTCTTTAATGTGCTGTGGGTTTGCCAAAGGGAGAGGGAGAATATAGGTAGATGCCATTCGTGATATCAAAATGACTTTTTTTTTAAGATTTATTTATTTATGCAAACAAGTACTGGGGTACAGGCCAAAGGTGTGGGGGGGTGAGAGGATTCACCAGAGACAGACAGAGTGTGAGCAGAACAGGTAGACTTACTGTAATACACTGCTGAGTGGAGCATGCAGTGAGACAGGAGAGGTCTGCTGCACCATGTGGATTGCTCCTTGGCCGGCCGGGGATCAACTCAATGTAGAGGCTGCGGATAGCTTCATAGTGCTGTGCTTAACCCCTTGCACCATCAGAGAGGCCCCAAATTGACTTTTTAAACTGATAAAATGTACACATTTACTTAGATTGATGTTGACTTTACCAAGGAATTTTTAGGTTTTTCTTCCCCTGACCCCTTACATGAAGTCACCCATAAATTACCTAAATGTAAATAAATTCCTTTCACCTCCTCACACTGAAATTGTTTTCTTACCTGACACTTTAGCCAAAAGACTTGTTCCACTCAATAAGTATTCAAATTCTTTCACTGTTGTTCATCTCTGTGATTATTTTGGTCTCTTTAAATTTCATCAAAGAACGATGCTGTGCTTATAGGGTTTTTAACTCATGAATGATTGGGTTATTGGCTTAGTTACTAGATTTTAAGATTATTAGAATAAATTTTTTTTTTTTTTTGGTGGGACCCTCGCCGGCGGCCGGTGAACGAACCGGCGCGGCAAAGGCTGCGGGCAGCCTCGCAGCCCAGCGCTCAACCGCTGCGCCACCAGGGGAGGCCCTATTAGAATAAATTTTTGGATAAATTACTATCAAATTCATAAATGTGGAAGCAGAGAAATAGATGGGAATGGAAACTGTTAAAGAACTGAGAATTATTTTACCCTTTTGAGGCCCATATGAAATGCCTGTAGAAGAAGTACTTCTTGCACAGTTGCTGACAAATAAATTTATCTCAATATTTATTTTACTAAGAATTAAGATAAATAAAAATGTTTAAGATGAAGAAAAATGATAGCTAGTTAGAGGAGAAAATTATAAAGCTGAGCAAATTCAGTCTTAGAGAAATTAAGCAAATTGTCACTTAAAAACATACAGCTTTGTGTTAGGACCAAAATCTCAGTCTAGCTCTGTCTGCTTTCTAATTGTATACTTGTAATAATTATGTTATACTGCCTCCCTATGTCCTATTCTGAATAAGGAGTAATTTTTCCTTAAATAATATAACTAAGGAAGAGCAAAAAAAGTAGCATAGAATGGTAGTTAAAAGTGGGTCTTTAATAAGTTGATAATTGTTGAAGCCAGGTGACATTTGTTAGAGAATTGTTATATTTTCTCCCTTCTTTTGAAATATTCCATAATAAAGTTGTTTTTTAAAAACAGATTTTGAAAGAGAATACAAGTTCTATTGATAGATGCGTGGATTCAAATGCAGCTAGTAGTTTTGAATTGGAGCAAGTCAACTAACTCTCTAAACCCCCTTTATCTGATAGAATGTTTTATAATAATAAAAATATGCCCCTATTGTACGGTATAGTACCGTAGCCACGTGTTGCTGTTGAGAATTTGAAATATAGCAATTGTTTCTGAGGAAGTGAATTTTTTATTTTATTTAAATTAATTTTAAATGCCACTGTGGCTGGTTAATTGCTATGGCATTACATAGTACAACTAGTCTTCTGATCTGTGAGATGAGAATGATATTCGCACAACTTAATAACCTAATTCATCTGGTTATTTTGAGTTTTAAATGATGTATTCTTTCTACTATGTATAGCGCTGTGCCTACACAATTATAAATGCTCTGTATGTGTTTGCTATTATTAGTATGTATTTTACTTTTAATAAATTTTTCTGTTGAAAATTGTCTTGAAAATGAGAACTAACACTTCTCAAATTATGTTGTTTAGATGAATATTAGAACTCCTTTAGTAACAGCAACAGTAATCATAAAAATGATGCCAATTATGGAATCAGGAATCAACTGCAAAAAGAACTTTGTGCTTAGACATGAGTCCTTTAAAGCTGTCTTTATCTTATAAATTTATTGCCTGTTATTTTAGTAGATTCTGAACTAATATTTCACAGGATATGAAATCTTGCTCTTCATTGAAGCAACTACCTTATTCAATGAAAAACTAAAGATCTTTCAGAAGTTTAATTATGGTCTTTGAGATGCTGTTGATGTACGGGGGTGTCAGGAATAAAATGAGTGAGGCCAGCAAAGACCGAGTCCACTCAGCAAGTCAGACACAGCAGGGTGTATTCAGACCTACCCACCGTCACCCCTACGCTAAGGAAGTGACATTTCACATACAGTAAAATTGTCCTGGGCTTTGAATACTCATAAGCCTCATTTTTTTCCTCATGTTAAATGTGTCTGTAAAATATAGATATTAATGTGAACAGCAAAGGCTAGTTGTGAAAATGAAGTGAAATAACATAAATAAAGCTTCAGACATAGAGGAGGAGCTCAGTAAATGTTACTTTCCTTCCTCTTGTCCTTCCTTAAATCAAAATTTAAACACAGAATGATGTCTCCAAAAAGATTACTAAGTGATAGGGTCCTTGACAATTCCTGTTCTTCTTTGTTTATTAAAGGTGTTTCTCTAGATTATACAATAAAAGTTCTTTAAAGAACTGAATAATCATTTTTCTTAGGAAATGAAGCAATGCCACTCTACCCCTTGCACATTTAAGTAATTATACTATGTATTTAATGTCTAGAAAGGTTAGAGTAAATATGTACTGAAGTGAAATCATTATACACATGTTAAAAGCTAACATTTGAGATATCACTATTAACTGCTTTAAATTCCCCTATCATTAAAGTAATAATCCACTCTAAAAGTAGTACTGTTAACTCTCCTCTACAAAGTCACAAGAGACTGTCTGGGTTATATAGTTAGATCTATAGTTAAGAACTGAAGGAAGATTGGAAAGAGAATAATTAGCATAAATTTTCCATCCCTGTTGTCAGTTCTTAGTTTATTCTTAACTAGAGGTTTAAGGGAAAAAAAACTACTTTGTCAACTTTTTTTGTAAGGCTAAGTCAGGATATATTGATCCAGGAAGTTAAGGAACAATATATCAGGAATATGTTTTCATATAGCAGGTGAAACAGAGCCATAAACATGAATTTCTGAGTAATAATTAACAGTGAATTGAACAATTATGGGTGTAATATACCATTCATGATAGATGTGCTTGTAAGATTTGTTTTGTCGTTGCTTTATGAGTCACTCTTAGAAGCTTTGTATTTTAAAGGTAAATTTCCACTGTTAGGAAATATTTCTTACAGAGGCTGAACTATTGAGCAATTACTTACATACTGAAAGAACACAGTGTATAATAATCATATTAAGTTATAGAGAGCCACATGTTGAAGGAAGTCTCCCTTGTTGTTTAAGAGGATATTAGACAGCTGAAATTTTGAAAATATATACCCTGGTGTTGGCCATGGTGTCCATACTGTTGGTGGCAAACAGTTGTCTTGCTCTGTAAGCCAATTTATCCACCCATCTTTTATTACATGTAATTATGGTTATTTTTGCTTTTTAAATTTGAAAAATTTCTTTATTCTGGAAAAAAAATTAAATGCTACATAAAAAACATTTTCTAAGAAATTACCCAGTCAGAGTCCTTTCATTTATCAGCATTTCCTTCCTTAGCATTTTATTTAATGTACTTTGGTATTGGAGAAAGGGGGAGAGAGAGAGTGTGTGTGTGTGTGTGTGTGTGTGTGAGATTACATGCACTGTGTGAGTGTGTTTATATACTTGTGTATGTGTGATATATGACATACATATGAACATATGGACATGAACACATCTGCTCCTTGAAAATACTTATTCCTATTTACTAGATATCTGTTTTAATTTTGAAAAATGTTTTATCTTCAAAGTGATTTTTGCAATAGATAGATTAAAGTCCTAGAATTACAAATCTGATCTTTACCATTTGGGGGTTCTGGCAGAACATGGCATTCAGTTTCTTTTATATCATTTAATTCTTTTCAACTCCTTGGCACAGTAGGATCTCTGGCGCCTAACTCCAAAAGTCAATTTGTTTTTCTGCTGAGCTGCTTACCTTTATTGGCATTTAATTACTGTTTTCCTCCAAAGCCTGTTTTTCATCTGAATTAGTAATACTATATAGCATTTATGTAGAGTTTTATGTGTTCGATGCTTTATATAATCATCCATTAGATAATTCACATATCCCTTTGACATGCATGAGTATTATTTTCTACTTTTACAGATGTGAAAACTCTGAGATCCAGTGAGGTGGTCTGGTGGCGCTTTATAACACAGCTGAGTCAGTGGCACAGTTGAGAAATTAGAACTATATCTAGTCTTTGTTCTCAAGACTAACTCAGCTCAAAGTCTGATGAGAATTTGGGGAAGTTCTCAGTTGCCGGAAAGGAAGAGAGTGGGTTTTTTCCTCTTAAACCCTAAGAATTTCTTGTTCTTCCAGGATACCAGTCCTTGGATTTAACGTAAAATTTCTGCCTAACATTTTTTGAATTGGTGACTTTCCACTTTCTTAAAGTATAACTTAAGACTTACCTTTTCAGCAAAACAATTCTCATTAAATTTACCTTCACAGATTTTGTTTTGACATTGAATGTTATGTTGCTTCAATTCATTGTTTCTTTTCTTCTTGTAGTGCTGGCTGAGTAGATTCATCTCAGTGGCTTTCAAAGAATATTTCATTTCATGGATCTAATTAATTTTTATATGTTGAATAATAATACTCCACAGAGCATAAGACAGACCTCAAATATTTATCTTTTAAAATATTTATATATCCTTATGATTAGGCTTCTCATCCTTTCCTGTCAGAAATAGGTCATATCAAAGGGAAATTCACCATGTAGATGTAGAAATTGAAGATTAAACTAAGAATTTGGAGATAGAATTTTTCCCCAAGCTTACAGAGGTTAAATATGTGATTGACTTATCTAACTCAATTATATCCCTGATACGATGTGGTAAATTATAAAGCACTACTTTCAGTTTTAAAGATAAATGTTTTAATTAGACTTTTAGCCTCTTCAGTTTTATTTTTTTCTTGCATATACTTCTCTTTTTTTTTTTTTTACCTTTTATGTAAGTCCAGTTCATCTTTTTACATTTCAGGAGTAAACAGCTACTTTTAAAACGTTAATATTATATCCATAGTAGGCAAGAAATTCTTCTCAGAAAGCAGGTCAGCTGCATTGTCAAATGATTATAAAAAGAGTCTTCACACAAAATAGCCACTGAATAAGTCAAATGTTGCAGTGACTAATCTGCTATCTTTATGGACCATAAATTTAATTTATTTTCATTCAACCCACAAGTTTTACATTTTTTGTTTTCTATTTACTATTTATTAATTAAACTTACACAAATTAAATGTCTTTTTAAAAGTGCTCTTTTTTTCCAGCAATTTAAATAAAGAAAAATCAGCTCTACTACAGATGAAGAATCAAATGGCATTAGATTTAGAACAACTTCTCAATCATCGTGAGGTACTTTTTCCATTTTGTCATTAATTTTTACCACTTTAGGCTTTTGCAGAGTCCATGTTGGGTTAAGATTATTGGATCCCAGATGTCCCTGTCTATTATTGGTTCTAATACTGGTTTCTCAACTATGATCTGACCCTTTTTATTCAACTCATGATGTACTGCATACTTGATAAGTTATGTCTTACTCCTTACATATTTTGACTCCTTTTTGCCTGTTGTATATCTCATTTAATTTCCATATTACTTAATAATCATTTTGCTTTATCACTTATCCTTCACTAGATAATAAATCTCTTTACTGTATCTCTGTTATTGTATGCCAGGTGCTTAATGTACAATATTTATGTGTAACTTTAAAATCCATGAAGGTTATTTTTTACTTGTTCCTCATCAAGCATCAAGCTCAAAGAGCATCAACATTTAGAGTTATATAATCCCCATTTTATGAAAGAATAAATGAGTTTTAAGAGGCTTGTCCAATGCCAATTAGTAACTAAGGGATAACTCTAGTTCTGTTTTCTTGTTTTTAGGTAATTTTTGAGTCTAACAGACATATAAGAAAAGTCACCATTTTTAGCTTACATTTCTGATTTTTGACTAATGCACACAATTGTGCAACATCACCACAATCAATGTATAAAATGGCTTTGTCATCCCAGAAAATTCCTTCATGTCCCCTTTGTAGTGACTGTTTTCCCCAACTCCAGCCCTAACAACCACTAATCTGTTTTCCATCCCTTAGTGTTGGCTTTTCCAGCAAAAAGCATTACTTTTTTTCAAAATGTCATATAAGTGAAATTATTAGTGATCATCTTTTCAGTCTGGCTTTTTTTCACTTACCATAAAAAAGACTCAGCCACATGGTTGCAAGTATTAGTCATTTGTTCCTTTTTATTGCTAAGCAATATTCCATTATATGGTTGGAGAAGAGTTTATTAATCTGTTCACCAATTGATGGATATTTGAATTGTTTCCATTTAGAGGCATCTAAAATAAAGCTGCTGTAAATAATTGTCTCTCTGTTTTTGTGTAAATATGTTTTCATTTCTCTTAGTAAATATACAGGAGGATTGCTGGGTCATATGGAGAGTGTATGTCTAACTATATAAGAAAGTACCAAACTGTTTTCCAAAGTGACAGTAGCATTTACAGCCCACTGGCAATGAATGAGTGTTCCAGCTGCTCTCTATCTTTGCCAGCAGTTACAATAGAGCCTAGTTTTTTTTTTAATCCAACACATATTTTTCCACTGAACTATCACTGCCTTGTCTTAGCCATGTTTTTACCATTTTGTTATCAAATGTACCAAATGCTCAAAACAGATTATTGCTGTATGAGTACCCTGAAGACATTGTTTCCTAGTCTGGGAAAGATATATAGGGTATTTGGGAAGAAATTGTTGGAAGGATCTTATTGGTAGAGATAACTGGGGAATATTTTACTTGAAGCAGTTCAAAGGTACATATCCTAGAAATGGTGTCGAGAATTTGGGGAATTGTCTCTATTTTACAAATGGTCTTTGGAGTGAGCTCTCTTAACAGTGGTATTTTTACATGATGAATGAAAAGGATAAGAAGAGATCACTGGATGACTTTTAGGTAGATAAGTAGATTAACAACAGGTTCAAGCTCAGAAAAGCTTCTCTGAGTGTTTTTATTCTTTTTCCTGAATTCCAGCATTCCAGGCCTTATCTGCTATTACATACTTCCTAGGATTCTACCTTCAAACAATTGTTTCTTCACTATGGAAGCCTGATTTATTTACTACATGGATTTTCACAAATGTTCTTAAAATTGAATATTTAAGAGATAGTAACTACAGATATCTGTTTAGTCATACCGTACTTTTATTTTCATAATGCTGCATAACAAGTATTTTTTTCAGAATGGCAATTTTCATTTGATTTTAGAGGATTGTGCTAGATTCTAAAAATATATGAGCAACTATGTATTTTGTACATCATACTTGAATAATCAAATCATTCATGAGTCCAAATAAAAACTAAAAGTTTTATTTGGTGGATTAATAATTGTGAATAGGTTTAGGAGAAAATATGTTTAAACAAGAAGATTAAAGCTAGCAAGATGAAACTACTCATGTAAACCGCCCACCTCCCACTATGTGGCATCAATTCACATGGATGCATATCTAATTAAATACTTGTCATTTATCTTAGCCATTAATTTATAGACATGTTAGATTTATAGCCAGATAGTTTAGAAATGCTAGTGAAAGCAAAAAATATGTGAACTTACTAAATAATACATTGTTGGAGGCATAAGGGAGTCCTTGGATGAGGAATGAAAAAAATGAGTGTGTGATGCTATGTATATGAAGAATATTAAACAAAAGAAGAATGAATGTTCATTCATTAATTAAGTTCAAAATATCAATATTTTTTAACTTAATCAATCTTCAAGGATCCAATGAATATTAATGCCCATACGTAATACTCTTAAATATCAAAAAGTAATAAATTTAGTTAATTTTATTTATTAATTTATTTAGAAGATTTATTTATTTATACAGTCAGAAGCGGGGGAGGGTGAGAAAATTCACCAGAGCCAGAGCCGGGAGCAGAGCAGGCAGAAGGACCAAAGTACACTGCTGAGGGGAGCAGCAGACGGCAGGAGAGGTCTGCGCGCCATGTAGGACCCTCCTCCAGTGGCCGGGGAGCAGCTGGGGATCGAACCGGCGCTGCAGAGGCTGCGGGCAGCTTCACCACCCAGCGCTCAACCGCTGCGCCACCGGGGAGGTCCTAATTTTATTTTTTTAAGATTTATTTATTTATGCGTACAAGAACTGGGGTGTAGGCCACATGTGCAGAGGGTGACAGGATTCACCAGAGGCAGAGTGGGGAGCAGAACTGGTGGATCTACTGAGATACACTAGATCCGCCTGTAATTAAATTTAAATAATCCAACATTCTGACTTTTCTTAGTGTCAAATATCCAAAGGTAACTTTCTTCTTTTTTAAGCTAAGTAAAAATGATTGTTTAATAAAACAAACCTGATACAAGTGCTTAATCTTTTCCAAGAAATAGTTTAAGAACTTGCCCAGCATGTCCAGATGCAGGAGTAAACACAAACTGCTTTTGCGGAAGGAGAGCCGGGATCCAGGAAAATGATGACCGTTCCCTTGAACTATGAGTCCACGGAATTAATTTATTCATTTTACGACTTGAGGATCAAGTGCTTGTTATAGCCAACTAATATCAATTGGATAAGCATAACTCTGATAAATATAATGTTTTGAAGTGAAAACCAGGGCCTACACCAAAGCCAGGCAAGCAAGACACGTAGAACACAAAATGTAGGACTTACCCACAGTCAGGCATGCTTAGCAGAGGGTTGGCACCTCAGGTGGGAAAATATCTAAGTCATTGCTTTAAATGGCTAAATTTTCTCAGTTTAAATTAGTGCTTATTAAGGAGACCAAGTGAACATTTTAAAGGTTTTCTTTTTTCTTTTTGCACTTGACAACTCTGGCTCTGTGTACTTAGTTCTGATATGCTGGTGGTCATATAATGACGGTGGTGGTGTAATAGAATTGACATCACTAACTCATTTACATAGTTTTCAAGTATGTATTAAAAAAAGAAAGGGGATAATTCTAATTTGACAATTCTAGTACATTTGGGGTATGGCCACAGAGTGCTTTTATTTTCTATGTTAGTATTGGCTCAAATTATTTTTTTTTAAATTTATTTACTTATGCATACAAGAACTGGGGTATAGGCCAGAGGTATGTGGGAATGAGAGGATTCACCAGAGACAGAGTGGGGAACAGATTGACTCACAGATTGACTGAAGTACACTGCTGAGGGGAACAGCGGGTGAGTCAGGGGAGGTCTGCTGCACCATGTGGGTCACCCCCTGGCCGGGGAGACCGAACTCATATGCAGTGGCTGCGATAGCTTCATAATGCTGCATCTTAACCCTTTGTGCCACCAGGGAGGCCCCTTAGCTCATATTACCTTAAAAGTAACTCCTGTCATGTTAGAAGTTCAGCTGTTATCTAAAAATTTCTAGGAGTGACAAAAATCAATATTAACCTCTTTTTCTATAAGTTTTTAGCATGTATACATTAAAAATGGTCACTTATATTTGGAATTATGAATGGTGATTAGGTACATTTTATTCTCAACCTCAGAGGTTCAAGATCATTCCCTTTACAGAAAATCAAAACAAAATCTGTTGTCATCTTTGTTTGGTGAAATTACTTAAGGGAGTCTACTAAGTACTTCCATTTATATTTCATAATTTAGTTTTTCCCCCCCCTTTTACAGATGAAACTGATGCTGATAAGAGTTAAGTAACTCAACCATGATTATATACTTTCTGTCAAAACTACAAGTGCAGGGCCTCCCTGGTGGCGCAAGGGGTTAAGATGCAACCTGTGAAGCTCTCCACAGCCTCTCCAAAATGAGTTTGATTCCCCGGCCAACCAGGGAACTACCCACATGGCGCAGCAGACCTCTCCTGACTCACCCACTGCTCCCCTCAGCAGTGTACTTCGGTCAATCTGCCTGTTCTGCTCCCCACTCTGTCTCTGGTGAATCCTCTCACCCCAACACCTCTGACCTGTACCCCAGCTCTTGTATGCATAAATAAATAAATCTTTAAAAAAATAATAAAACTACAGGTAGATCCTTTTTTCCCCCTGAAACAAAAACTTATGCTCTTTCTCCTTAGTCCCATTTAGACAAAAATATCATAGCCAATTATCACTTACATTAGTTCCAGGAAAATTTTTGCCTCTATAGATGAACTTATAGTCTTCCTTTCTGTCAGAAAATGAGAACTGTGTAATTTAATGTTTCTGTTTTGTCTTAGTTGCCAGAAAACACAAAGATGTTATAACTTCCATTTTTTCTCTTTCATTTTTGAAACCTCAGAATCACTTTTTCTGTTTCCTTCAAGTGGGTTAAAATCACTCATATTCAGACTTCTTATGTGTAAGAATATGAAATGTAACAAATATAAATCTTAATTAGATA